GATTAAAACCCACCTCAGAGGACGCACGGACGCGGACGGACGAATGTGGCGCTCCGTCGTTTGGTGGCTTAAAAGGTGCCTTAAAAGGACCCGGGACGGGGGCTCGGACCAAACGGGTGGAACATCTTGTCCCGGCGAGATGGACGAGACGGACAAAGATAACGCCCGTTATCGCCCCCCCCCGCAGCAGCCGCACACCCACTTTACGTGCAGCCTTTTCCTAAATCCAGATGAATTATTTCTCTTGGCCGATAAAAGCCGACGGCAGTCGCGAAACGTGCGATGAGGGTTCTGATGAATCTGTCATCGGTTGCAGGTCTCCCATTGTTCTCCCCGGCAGATTTAAAATGCTGATAGAGAGAAGAAAAAAAAAAGGGAAGTTTGACAGTTCCCTTTTCGTAGAGCGCCGCGTTCCTCTGACAGCTTGACAGCGTGCCGTCCTCCCGACTGGGGTGTCGGTCCGTCCGTACGTCCCTGTACCTGATTAGCATCCGCTACTGGACAGAGAGGACAGCACAGCCCCCCCACACCCCCCACGGAGACATGCACCCCCCACGGCGGAGACGGTCGCTGCTTCCCGTTAAGTTCCATGTTCCACCTGAAGGAGAATCCCGGCCTAATCCACCGCTCTGCTGCCTTCAGGTGCGTCGTGACGTCAAACGTGATGATGATGATGATGATGTTTGCGTTTATGGAAAACGCCTCACGAAAAAAAGGGTTAAAACTCACAGATCAAACCCTGAAAAATCAGACAAGGAGACACTCGAGAACAAAAATCCACTCCGGGTCTCACATGGCAGCTGTGCGGGGGGGTAAATGAGTGAGACGCGACGGCGGCGGAGCGGCGGAGTGTCGCCTGTCAATCGCGGCGGCCCTCTGAGAGACGGCGTTCCGTGACGCAGCGAATGCAAAACGGCGAGTCCGACACACACAGAAGAAGCTAATAAATGGAATCCGGGCAGCCGAGCGTGATGATTGTCCACCTTCCTGGACGTCAGGCGCCGGCCTTCCCTCCGGCTGCGTTCAGTGTTCTCGGCTTTCCTCGCCAGCCGGTTCCTCTTGAAGACGCCACGGCGAGTCTTTCAGCTTTGTAAATGTAAAGTTTTCATTTTTTTCACTATTTGATGGAACAACTGCAGTTTCCACGTCTCATCTGAAGCTAATTCAAAAGCCCCCCCCGTCCCCGTCCAGCTTCCCCCCCCGGCGTGCGCCTTCAGAAACGCCGTCTCATATTTGATGCGTTTCGCGGCGACTTGTCAGAAGGCTCCGCCGCTTTCTCACAAAAAGACGTCTCCCCTTGTAGCTTCAACCTCGCTGAGGATCCGGGGGAACTGCAGAGTCTCGCAGTCCATTCATCACCTTTAGTCACAAGCCGAGCCGCAGGAATAATCGGTTCCTCGCTTTCAGCCATTTTTTCTGTCGGAATCCTGATCCCAGCTTCTTAAATGAGATTATCTGAGTTAATTCCCCTTTTTCTCTGTGACAGTAAACTAAATATTTTGGAGTCACGGACATTTCATTGACCAAACAACTAATGGATTGATGACAAGAACGTCCTGGAGCGATTAATTGAAGCTGACGTCATTTGTTTCCCTCGTCACTTACGACCTACTCGCCTCCATCAGACGTTTTCTTTGGAGTCTTCTTTCGGTCGATTGCGTCACGGCGAGGTCGTGACCCCCCCGCCTCCCCCTGATGTTCTCTGCCTCCCTCGTCGCGTTGGCTCAAAAATCGATGAGCGGCGACGCGCGGTTCGCTTTCAAGACGAGCTCCATCGATCGCCGCTTGTCAATCCCTTCAAATCGTGTCAGCTGCCACAGACATCTTGTTCAATGCTTTTTAAACGCAAACAGAGCTTCTCAAAACAACGGATGGATTCATCGCAACACCGGCCGCGTTGAATAAAAGGCCCGTTTACTGTTAAATCCCTTACGGAGCCTCCAGTGAACACGACCTTCAATGGACGGCGCTGCCGGTGCGTCAGATTAACATCATCATTATTATTCGCATCGAGCAGCCGTCGAGGCCTTTTCTTGAATGAGCAGGACTTTAAATATCAAATGTATCCACCGTTGGCTGACGCGGTTCCTTATCGTAGTGGAAGTGGTGCTCAAATGTCAAGAAGAAGAGATCGGAGAACATCGTCAGTACGGCGCCGCTGCTGCTCGCTGCTTCGTCACGTTTGAGGCTGAAACGGCATTTCCTCAATTCCCGAACAGACCGAGTAAACAAGACTAAAAGGGATTTCAAACTGTGATATTTCTCCTGAACCCGGATCAATCGGGGATCTTCCCATCCACGCAAACAGAATTGTAATTGTATTGTAAAAACACCACATAAAGCCCCAAACCGACATGCGTTTTAACGCGGAATTGGAGGCCAAAGGAACGGCTCAGTCTGCCTTTTAGGTGAGGAAACGAAGCCCTGGGATTCAAACGGAGTGAATGAAGAGAATAAACACGAGCCGTTGCACAGTGAGTAGTTTGCGGCACTCAATACGAATCAATGCGCTTCTGCGTGTCTCTGTATCTCGACTACGGCTCCTGCGTTCACGGTCAATACTGCTGCTATTATATATCAGGGGAGGATGGATTAAAAATGTCACATTAAAGGATTAGAATGGGCAGGGAAATCCGCATGTTCCGGCGGCTTCTCCGTGTTTTGAGCAATGCGAGATACGAACTCCGGCTTCGGTCCACGTTTAAACCCGATCCGACACGGATCTGCTCCCCCAGAACCTTTCACAAGCATTTAGCGGATTTTCCTCGGGATCCATAACCGGAATCAGGAATAACCGCAGTGGAAAGAAGACTTTGGGACATGGCCGGCTGAGGCGACACCAATTAGACGAGCGAGTAGAAGCACTATGGCGCCCCGGAAAGGTGTCGGAAAGTCTTTGCACACAGGTTGAAAACCCACCCTGGATGGTTTAGAGATTTTATAGCCAAATATGTCTTCGGCCAACAGGAAAACGCGTCCAGCCAGATGATTCCTGCAAGTCGTCACGTCTTCACGACATTAAAAACATGGATTCGGAGTCTAGCAATGATTTTACATCCGTGCAAAATGACATAAAAATTGATTAACGGCCCGGCAGAGAATAACAAAGTGCACCTCTGAATTAACTGCAGCCCACTGACGCACGCAGATGGTTCTTTTAAAAACTCTGCACACACGCAGCGGCGCAAACGCTTCGCCCGATCGTTAAAAGCTGAAGCAAACCACGCGGCGGCCACGGGAAAAAAAAAAAACACCCGACGCCGAAAACAAAACACCTGCTCCGCGTCCCCGACGGAGGGGAACTACTTCTCCATTAACGGGGCTTCGTGCGGTGAGACGCGCCCGGCTTTTTGGTTCTGGTTTCTGAAGCCCGAAACAGTCGCAGATCAATAACAGCCTGTCAGGTTTTTAGTGCGGGGGGGGGGGGTGCGTCCGTCGGGCTCTTTTGTGACTCCCGACAGCTTTGATCGAAAATGACAGAAAGAGAGAGAGAGAGTGTGAGTACAGAGACAGCTTCTCAAGAATTGAATACTTAACGGAGAGAAGCCAGGCTTGCGTGATACTATTGGCCGGCTCCCGGGGGCCCAGAATCTGGGTAATTTCCCTTTTTTTTTTTTTAAGGCCGCTGGTCTCCATCGCTGTCAGAGGCAAGTCCCCGGATGGAGCTAACGGGGAGGCGGGATCCGCATTCTATCTGCTGCACCCGTGCACACATGCGCTGTACCTCCAAACACTGACGTGCGAGGCGGGGCCCCTAATCGCCCTGGCGGCCATTGATGGTCGACAGTGGCCCGCGGCGGGGGGGGAGACGGAGAGACTTCGTCGGGGTCTCTGTGTAATTATTCAGCCGCACAGAAAAGGGGGCGGGGCCGACGCGGCGCCAGAGCAGATTTAGCGCGTCCGCGGTCCGTGCACTCAGCAGGGTGTCTAATGATGTGCACTTACGGGCTAAATTACCAGAACATTGTTTACCTCTGCTCCGGGAGCGCCGGGGGCCCCACGGACAGCGAGAGCCCGGGAAGGCGTCGGAGCAAAAAGATGGGAGGGGGGGGGGAGGAAGGGGGGGCCCGGATGAATCTGCTCAAGTTGAAATTAAAGCAAATGATGGGATAGTTAGCGTGTTTTTCTCGGAGAGGGAGGAACGATGAATGGTATCCATGGAAGCAGAGGCTCAGAGGAGAGGCGGAGACGTCCAACTCTTCACACGCTGCTGACAGCCAGCTAGCAAGAAAGCAGATCCCCCCCCGGCGAGGGGGAGGAGAACACAAACTGTACGGCACAACGATCAATTATAGCTGCACGCGCACAAGACACACAGTCAACCGCAATTGCAATTTCTGTCCCATTAAAATCTTGCTTTCTAGCGTTTGTGTGAAGAGGGAAAATGTGCCGCTTTTTTCCTAAACTACGACACCACTCGGGGCGCATAATGTGACGCGGTCCTTTTTGTTGTTGTTTGTTTGCTTGTTAAGAAGAGCTCCACCTCGGGCCGTCACTTGTGACAGCAGCGGCCATCGGAGCCCCCCCGCCCCCCCCTCATCGGAGGTCATTTACATAATGAAAGACAGAAATGACCGAGGAGACGAGCCTTTCCATTTGGCAGGGGGGAGGAAATGAAGATGGGAGGGAAACGCTTTGGCAAAGAAAAGGAGCGTTGGACAGAGAGGACGCAGAGCGAGCAGCAGGACGGAGGGATGAGGCCAGAGAGGGAGAGGGAGGGAGAGAGGGAGAGAGAGGGAGCGGGAGGGAGAGAAGGGGCTTGAAGAGCTGAGACGGTTGAACCATGAAGACAGCCAGTGAGTTGGACAGTGCCGAACCATTTGGAGATGAGAAGTGGAAGACAGAAGCGAGGGAGAGACAGCGAAGCCCCAACAGCACCACAGAGGTTAGAGGTCATGTGCAGTTTGTGAGCCTCTACGGGTTAAAAAGTTGGACGGCGGGTGGAGAAAGGTGTCGCGGCGTCCCTTTGCACGGGGTGGAGGGGGGGGGGGGCCTCTTACCTTGGCCGACGCCGAAGCCGCCGATCCTGCAGCCGGGATGCCGCGCTTGACCGCTACGTCGCCACTCGATGTTGTCACGGCAACTGTGACCGGGGTGGGCAGGAGGGAGGGGATGACCGGGAGGGGAAGGAGCCCCGGGCGGTTGTTGCCATTGGCAACGGCCGAGGCGCAGCTGTGATTGGCTCCACCGTTGTGGAGGCCGGACGGACGGACGTCTCGGCGCTCCCAGGGTGCCCGGTAGTCCCTCTCGAAGCGGTGGTGGTGGCGTGACATCACTTCCTCTTCCTCTCAGGGGGAATTACAGGGGCAGGCCTGCAGGAAGGAAACGGCAAGGTACCGGTGAGATTGGAAGGATGGGAAAACGTATGCAAATGGCGGGAGGAGATTCAGACACAGACGAAGCACCGCGGTGCAGAGTGACTTATGGGGAGAACACGCCGACACAACGGTGTAAACGCTCGCAGCATCTGACTGACACGCACACGCGGCGGCTCGTTTGTTGCCTCCGTTCTCCCAGTCATTAACCAACCGGCAAGAGGGAAACGTTAAGCAGCTCTATTAAAAAAAACACCGTAAAGAGCTCAACCCGTAGCGCCGGGAGGTCCAGGCCAAGCGGCCCCGAGCGGGACGGAAACAGGTCCGCGCTCGGTGAGGCGGCACAAGGGCCCGGGGGGGGGGGGGTCGTGACCTCGCGGGTCCGAAAATCCACTCACCTGAGAGAGATAAATCCCACGGCAATAAACGGCTCATCTCGTGCACCTAATGGCCGGTTAATTCAAATCAGATTGCCCTCGAATTGCATTAGAGGGTTCTCCTCCCTGCAAGCGCGGTGGGCCGCCATGAGCTCGGGAGGGGAATTACATCAGCATGGGGGGGGGGGGCACTGGCATGAGTGCACTGGGGGGCACTGGCTCGCTCCTCTGGCCTCTCAAGAGGAGCGAGCACCTTGAAATGCTGAATGTGTGTGTGTGTGTTGGATGTAACGAGAACGCACATGTGGGAAGCTCCATTGTGGTGCCACTCATGAACATAGTTTACCCCCCCCCCATGTAATTTATTTTTCTCTCACACGGGGTCCGCTCTGTCCAAATACAGCAAGCTGATCCGCGGCGATAAAAGCTGTGGGACGACACTCTCGCGCTCCCTTTCTCTCTCTCTCTGCAAACAACCGCTCTCCGTCTCCCCGAGCGAAACCCTTTTAACGACCTCGGGATGAGCTTCCTGTCATCTCCGCAAGTGTTGCCGGCAGAGCGAGAGAGTAACACGGTGCCGGTGCATCGGTGCAACAGCGGCAGAGTCAGTGCCAGCGAATATTCTCTTATCACCGCGAGCGCCACATTTCAGCTGAGGAACAACGGCCCGGCAGGACGTTGTTCCTCCGCATCAAGACAGGCAGAAACCAATTGTGAGGAGAGGTTTTTTTTTGTTTTAATCTGCCCAGCGATCAGAATGCAGGCAGAGTGCATCGGCATTCAGAACCCGGTGTCATTTACTTCTTTGCTAGAGCCTTTCGGGATGTGGAGAGGGTGCAGGCTCCTGTGAACCCGCTGAGTCATTAACCACAAAAAAACCCTCCAGAAACAAATCTAGTAGAAAAGAAAAGAGCTATTCAGCCGAGCTGGCTGAGAGAGAGAGAGAGAGAGACCACACAACACAGAGCGCTTTGTGGGATAACCTTTAGAGCAGGTAGAACACACAGAAATACCAAGCGAAGGGCTCCAGCAGCGGCTTTCAATTAGCTGTCGAATAATCTATACGCACGTCTTCCTTTGCCACAGAGCGGAAATGTGGGTTTTTTTTTGTCTGCAACACAAACAAAGCCTGGTTCCGGTGAACTCACCTGCCCGTGTGGCGCGTTCAGAAGCTCGGCGCCACACGGTCACGAGTCTCTAAGCGCAACCAGAGGCTGCCAACTGATCCCCCGCGGCGTCGCCGGGACAAATCCCGCCACATTTCTGCTCCTCTGTGAACAGCGGGATCTAAGCTGCTAATTAGAGGAGATTAAATTACTTCGGCGTGCGTTTCCTTTAAAGTTTGCGTGCGCGTGTGTGTGTGTGTGTGTGTGTGTGTGTGTGTGTGTGTGTGTGTGTGTGTGTCCTCGCTCACATCCCCTTGAGGCCGAGGGAGCGCGTTTGTGAAGGCAAATACGACGAGGCGATAAAAAAAGGAACCCGTTGCCCCGCGAGGGGCCGACACCCCTGGGTCAACAAACGCTTAAATACATCACGTCCACAATGACGGCGCTCAGGGGAGACGGCGCCAATAACCGTTTGCCAGTTTGCCTTCGTCCACCGCAGCTGCAGTCAGGCCCGGACAAAGCATCGGCCCCGCAGAGACGAGGAGGGGGGGGGGGGCAATAACCTCTGCTGCAAGGCTGCCGCGTGAAGTCGAGCTTTTAAAGAACCTTTTCAGAGGGAAAAAATAAGGACAGCATTCCAGTTCTACTCTTTAATCAACCGACAAGGATTCCTATCGGCCCGTAGATACCGTCACGTCAGCACCACCACCACCACCTGGACCTCGACGCCGTCACCGCGGAGACGCCCCGCTTCTTCTCTCGAGCGGCGGCGGGGCGGTTAGGCCCGAAAGTTGTGTGGCAAGGGTGGGAACGCGAGACGCACGCCCCCGTGCAACTGCAGCTGTCGCTCCGAGGCGCCGCGGCGGCGTGGGCGGGCGAGCGGGACGGTGCGGCGTTTAACAAAGCGGATAGACGCGAGGAAAGAGGACGATTAGCAGATGGACAGAGTGTGTGTGTGTGTGTGTGTGTGTGTGTGTGTGTGTGTGTAGCCTGAAATAGAGAGCAGGGTGGGTCTGTGTGTCACGCTTCTGTTCTGCGGTGTGACGTTAAGAGCCACCCGCCACGCCCGCCGGCCTGGATGGATGGTACAAATGAGGGACGGGGGGGGGGACGGGGGGACTGTAACTTTAGGAGGAGGACAAGATATCGCTGTAGATGAGCAGGCACACAGACACCCTCCATTAACACTTTAACTGTCACTTGTGTACACACACACACACACACACACACACGATGCAGGCGCAGACTAATAAATGCGCTGACAGCTCCTCCAGGACAACAAAGGTGTTCGTCACGATATTTGAATAATGCGGGCAGACGGCTGCTACAGGAATAGCCCGGAGCAAAATCACACGCTCGAGTCCCCGGCTTTTTAAATCCTCCTCCGGCAGATGATGAAGATGCAGTCTCACTTTGGAGGATGGCGCCCGCTTTCCGCTACACGCACCTGAACGAGCAAACAAAACGGGTGCATTCATTAAGCGACGGGCTGTCCCGCTAGCACGTTGTTTACTGCATTGCAGCAATAAATGCCTCCGTTATCTAAAAGATCTTTTTGTTTGCAGCATATTTCCTATTGACTGATGGAGCAAAGTGATCCGCGAGAAAAGAGCGAGCCAGGGCTTTGTGGGTATTTTTAACCTTCCCTCCTAAATTGATGTTGCAGACCAACACAGGGGAAGAGAAAGGATGGAGTCTTGTGTCCATCGGCTCTGATATATGTGTGCGTGTGCGTTCTGTGGGTCTGTGTAGAGAAAAGGCCGTCGTCGGGGAGGAGAAGCAGACACCTGCTGGTTGAGCCCGTTGTGGGGATTGATTCTCCAACTGATCCCAGCGGTTTGAGGGGAATTAGTACTTTGCTACAACTCGCTCACCTCATTAGTCGTACGAATCCAGAGACGCGGCGCAGTCAGTGGTGTGTCATAAAAAAAATAAATTAAAAAAAAACATTTTGTGCGTCTCAGAATAAAGCCCACCGACTTCGGCACCATTAAGACCAGTAATAGCTTCCATTGATGGTAAGAGGCATGGAGGCTGAGGGGGAACCTGAAGCACGGGGAAGTCACCAGTCGCTTTGTGCAGAACCTTCCCTCAACCCGGCTGCCTAGTAGGTTTCTCTCAGAGGTCTCTGAGGAGGGGACGGGGAGCTCGGGCACTTTGTACATTAATCTGACACGTCGGCGGATGAAACGCTGGTGGGTGACATCCACACACACACACACACACACATGCATGCATTTCGCCAAAGACAAGACACTTCTTCTCTTTGATAAAGCGTGCATGAAAAGGCCAAATCATTCAAAGCGGATAAAAAAAGGGGGATACCGCTGTGTCAGGGAGACAGAAAGAAAAATAGATGCTAAGAAGATGAGGCCAGGATTAAAATTAATTGCATATCTGCAGAACTGACAGCAAACTGCCCCCTCAGTGTGTGTGTCTGTGTGAGAGTGGAGTGCGTGTGGGTTTTTGTGGGGGGGGGAAACATCATGATGCAACGCTTTCTAAGCAGCTCGCTTGATGGAAACGTCACGGCACCGCCGCCATTTCTTCCGTCAAGGAAAAAGCCGCCTTCCACTGGCGGCGGTCCAGCGCCTGGTGCGACTCGCGCTTGTTGAGATGCTGCGCCCTGCCAGCGCCTGGTGCGCACGCGCCCCTGCACCGCCACCTCCACCTCAGCACGCCGCTGCTCACTCAATTAAAACACGGACTTTCAACAAAACGCCACATTATCACACTGGCAGGAAACAAAAGCAGGAGGAGAAAATCCCGGGGCCGGCGTGCACGCTTCCTCAGCAGGCCTTTCTGGGCGCTTTTCTTCCACGCTGTGTGGGAGCCGCAGATTTCCAGACGCCAATCACGCAGTGTGCACGTGTCATGTATACGTGTGTGTGTGTGTGTGTGTGTGTGTTCTGTGGCCCACGGCAGCTGTCGCCTTTTCTCTCCCGCTGCATCCTTTTTGCAAATTCCTCTGTTCACTAAATAAAAACCAACAACGGCATCAAAACAAACAGCTCTCACTGCTGATGCCACACACACACACATGCACACGCACACACACACATATCAACGTGCACGTGGGCATGAGTCTGCGTATGCATGTAGCTCAGCTCCGGCACGCAAGGCAACTGCAAGAATAGTGACTTAATTATCTGAATGGCTGCGGCGGAGATTACCGAGGGCGGCGAGCATCCATCTCTTTCAACGCCGCCGGCTCGGAGTGCGGGGCCGAACCGGAGGAGAGATCAAGAGACGTGCACATCAATAACGGAGACGGCAGCGGCGACCAGCGAAAAAGGAGGCCGGGAGAATTAAACGAGAGCAGGAGGCGGGAGGCAACGTGGGGGCGAGCGAGAGGAGTCGGCGGTTAACAACGGAGGAGCCGGCGAGCCCGCTGACCTTCGCTATAAAAAGCCGGCCCCCCGGCATGTGGCTGCGTCCTCGTGTGCCGGCGGCCGGGATCATGACACCTCTTCCATCGCCATGGAGATGCCCCCCGCGCCTCCTCGATTTTACT